TCATGCTTTGAAGTTTCCATTAAACATTTAACCGAACCACTACGTGTGTTTTCTTTATGTGCATCTTAGGCACACTAGAAAAACCCAACATTGGTTATGGGCCCAGGTCTCGTTGTTTTCGGTTAAATAAGTACACAAAGTGTCTATGGTTTTGAAAGCTTCTTTTTGTTAAATTTTTAAAAAGTTTATTTCGTGCGAAGAATAACGTGGTGAAATTGTCAAAATGAACATGTCGCATCAAATAGAAAAACTTGGTGAGGACAATTATGACGTATGGCATATGGCCATGAAAAGTGTCTTGGTGGTGGCGGACCTATGGAATGTTGTGTGTGGAAAATATGTTAAGCCAGAAGGAAATGGTGAGGATATCGAAAAATGGGTTAGTGTCGACCAAAAAGCGATGGCTTACATAATTTTAAATCTGAAGCCAACACAGTTGATGCATATCAAGTCATGCCCAACATCTGCAGCTGTATGGAAAAAACTAAAGGAAATTCATGTCTCAGTTGGACCGATTAGGAAGGTCCAATTATATCAAAAATTAATACGTTTCAATATGCAGCAGGGTGACGATGTAGTCGCATATGTCAATTCATTTGTTGAGACAATTGAAAAGTTGGCAGAATTAGACATCAAACTCAATGACGAGTTGCAGGTCATCATGTTTTTGAGCAGTCTACCAGACACATGGGAAAATTTTGTAATAGCGATTGAGACACGCGATGAGCTGCCCAAATTCGAAGTCGTCAAGGTTAAAATGTTAGAAGAGGCCACGCGAAAGCAAGAAAGAGCTAGCAGAGACGGCATAGGGACACCAGAAGCAGTGTATACACACAAACATAATGGACCGCGGGACAACAACAGTGTCGAAAGCAAAGGCAGAAAGAATAGCAGTAAGCAGCCATTCCGAGGCAAATGTTTTAATTGCGAAAAGAAGGGCATCGAGCGAGCGATTGCCGAAATAAAAAGAAGGATGATAAAAAGAGCCAAAAGGACGAAAAGTCTCTATGCTTAATGCACACGTGTGTCAAGGAGAAGCAAAAGAGTTTTTGGTGCGTTGACAGTGGTGCAACTCGCACATGTGCTGCGACCGCAGCATGTTCCTTACGTATGCTGATAAAAAGACGTCGATAATGTTGGCCGCAAATAAGTTTATCGATTCACCCGGCAGGCAGTGTTGAGTTGCACTGCAATAGAATAAAATTAAAGCTGCAAAATGTTTTATATGTCCCTGACTTAAGCATGAATTTTTTATCAGTAAGTGCTGCAGCAAAGTTTGAGAATTCTACCATATTTGAAGGGAAAATTGCGCTGATAAAAGACAAAGAAGGCAACGAGATAATAAGGGCAAGACACGAAAATGGTTTGTATGTTTACAAACATAGTCTTGATCAGGTTCATATGCTAAATAGTTCTGATTCATCTTCCATAAAATGGCACAATAGATTTGGCCACCTGAATTTTAAGGATTTGAAATTGCTTAATGATAAGCAACTGGTGCGTGGTATGAAAGTTGAAAATGTACAATTAGAAATAAATTGCGATACATGTAATAAAGCAAAAATTTGTGCATTGCCATTCCCACAGAAAGCGAATCGTGTCTCAAAGCAAGTACTGGACTTAGTACATACAGACGTATGTGGTCCGATGAATGTTAAGTCGCTTGCAGGCAATCGATATTTCGTAACTTTTATTGATGACTACTCACGCAAGATATTTGTTTACCTTATGCACTCAAAAAGCCAAGTTTTTGAAAAGTTTAAAATGTTTAAAACTTTTGTAGAATGCCAAACAGGAAATAAAATAAAGGCTGTGCGCAGCGACAATGGAACAGAGTATGTGAATAAGCAATTCACTGAATTTTTGATCGAGTGCGGTATAAAGAGGCAATTAACAGTTCCTTACACTCCGCAGCAAAATGGTGGCCGAACGTGCTAATCGGACCATCGTTGAAATGGCAAAAAGTCTTCTAATTCATTCAAAGCTTGAAGAATTTTTGTGGGCAGAGGCTGTTGCAACAGCAGTTTATTTGCGCAACAGATGTCCCACAAAAGCATTAGATGGAAGCACACCATTTGAGGTATGGAAGGATCGCAAGCCATCAGTACAGCACTTGAGAGTATTTGGCTCGCGGGCATTTGCACTCGACAAAGTCAGAAAAAGCAAGTTCCAAGCAAAGGGCAAGGAGTACATTTTTGTTGGTTACTCCTTTACAGCAAGGCATATCGCCTATATGATCGCGAGAAGCGAACAGTTATTGAAAGAAGGGATGTCAAATTCATTGAAGGTGAGTTTGACATAGCAACAACTGATGCATGCAGTATGTTCAGACAGAAACACCTTCACGACGTACATTATCCCGTTTGAGTCAAATCATGAGGTTGCAAAAAACCACCCAGAAGCAACCTGCCGAGGTGCAAGAGTACAACAGTGACTCAAATGAAGAAGAAGAGGAGGATTTTGTGAGCGCAAGCGATCCAGGAGAAGATGGCAACGATGACGACAATGACCAAGTAGCGCTGCCACAAGTTGAAGCTGTAGTAAAACATGGGCGTGGCAGGCCAAAAATTATACGTACAGGTCAGCCAGGCAGGCCCAGAAAGCAGTACCAATTGATCAATAGTCTTAATCAGATTGAAGACATTGAAACTCCGCAGTCAGTTGCAGAAGCATTACATGGCCAAAATGCGCAGGATTGGGAAAAGTCTATGCAAATAGAGTACGACGCTTTACAAGCAAATGAGACATGGTCAGTGTGTGAGCTACCTCCTGGACAAAAGGCCATTGGTTCAAAATGGGTTTACCGAATCAAGAGAGATAAAGATGGTAATATTGAAAAATTTAAGTCTCGACTAGTTGCACAAGGTTGTGGTCAACAATTTGGTGTCAATTACTGGGAAACGTTTTCTCCCGTAATTCGATATGAAACCATTCGCATGTTATTCGCAATAGCTGCCGAAAAAGAGCTGTATATGCATCAAGTCGACATTTCAAACGCATACTTAAATAGTAAGCTTAATGAAACTGTGTACATGAAACAGCCGCCGAATTTTATTGACAAGCAGCATCCAAATAAAGTCCTCAAACTAGAAAAGGCACTTTACGGGCTTAAACAATCCGGACGAGTTTGGAACAATACGCTCGATGAGGTATTGAGAGGCATGGATTTTAAAAGATGCAAAAATGAAGCATGCTTATACGTCAAGCAAAAGCAACAACAATTCAGCTACATCGCTGTCTACGTCGACGATTTAATCATAGTGTGTCCCAGCGAAGAAGACATAGCCGTGATTAAGAAGAAGATTGCATCAAATTTTAAAATGCACGATGGAGGCCCCATTAGCTATTTCCTAGGCATGGAAATCCAACGCGACGGCGATCGAGGTTCCGTTTCGCTGTGCCAGAAGACGCACATTCAAGGCCTATTGGACAAGTATGGCATGAGCAATTGCCGTCCAGTAAGCACACCTCTTGACCCAGGTTTTCAAGTGGACTGCAACGACGATACTTGTGTAAAGGTAAATATAACGCAATATCAGTCATTAATTGGTTCGCTTATATACTTAGCAGTTTTGAGCCGACCAGACATTTTGCATGCTGTAAACAAATTATCACAAAGAAATGCTAATCCTCATGGAGAACACCAGTCTGCAGCAAAGCACATTCTAAGATATCTTGCGGGTACAAAGAATATGAAATTAGTATACCGTAAAAATGGCAAACCACTAAAAGGCTATGCAGATGCAGATTGGGGCAACGATCGGCTGGACAGGAGATCCTATAGTGGCTACGCATTTTTCCTGGCAGGCAGTGCGTTCTCTTGGACTTCATCAAAGCAAAGCGTTGTCGCATTGAGCAGCACTGAAGCAGAATATATTTCTTTGTCCATGGCTGCCAAAGAAGCAGTTTATCTACGCAGGCTACTTAGTGAGATGGGATGGTCAAAGGATACAGAGCCGTTGACTA